ATAAGAGGAAGTGAACTTTAGCAACTCAGCCGGTTAACTACAGACTATGTTCAGAAGCATCTGAAAGCTCCTTAAATGTTTAAATTAAAGCATCTTCCATTCACGTCTGGCGGTTGAGTCATGGCAACTGGACTTCTTTTCTTTTTGGTTAGAGACGTTTCGCTACTTGTCCAAGCAGCTTGACCAAGCTGGTTGACCAAGCTGGTTGACCAAGCTGGTTGACCAAGCTTGACCAAATTGCTTGGACAAGTAGCGAAACGTCTGTAACCGAAAAGAAGTTCAGTTGCCATGACTCAACCACCAGGCAATTCCACCTGGATGACTGAGAATCTTCATAAACATATCTTCCATTAAAGATGGCTTGTTTTCCATCACCAATGTTTCTGGCTGCAGGAGGACACCATGTGTGACTTTCGCTGTGATCTCAGTCTGCATGGCGCATGTTCCAATATACATTAGCCCAGATTCTTGTGTGGACTGCAAGGAAATATTAAATGATCTGCAAGTGACCCCTTGATCTGGAAAACATCTCTTGAAGGGAAGAAGCCTTAAAAAACCATGTCCCTAGACCAGCCTTCCTCCAGACCAGTGGATGTCAACTCCCAGAATTCCCCAGTGAACATGCCATTGCTGAAAATTTTGGGATTTGAAAGAGAACCTCCAGATTGTGGGCTTCAATCCCCACAATTCCCCAACCAACATTTGGCCCTTGCTGAGAATTCTGGGAACTGAAGGATGGTCTCCAGGCACATGGACTTTATGACCAGAATTCTCTTGCCTGCATTTCATTGTGGCTGAGAATTGCGAGAGTTGAACTCCATGGTATGGATTCAAGAAAACAATTGGGGGGCGCAAAAGAACAAGACACAACCATAGCCATGAACTGGAGTGAAGGGCAAGAGATACGTGTTGAGGGTTGCTTGTCCAACCTCACCCTATACTGGAGTTACTCCAATCTTGCAGAGTGAAAAGAAAGGAAGAAACCTACATCTACAGAGGTTGTGTCCCCAAAACACAAAACGGAGGCCCCGGGAACATGCCTTATCCATGCTTTGATCATGCTGGGGGTGAAAAAGAGAAGCTGATTGCCCGTGAAGAGCGTTACGCCGCTCATCCAAAACATTGGCCCAAAATGCTAGCCAAGAAATGCCAATAGATGCTGTGGAAATTGCCCCAGAGGAGACAAACTGCAAAAGAATTGCTCCTCTCCTCTCCTCTCCCTCCCCACCTGAACACGGTTTCAGGTGCCCCCAACGAGGAAAAGACACACGTCGGGTAGAAGGACCCGTTGTTGTGGCGAGCAGCTCCCGCGTCCTCCTTTGCAAGGCGCCACCGTCCGACAGCTGCTGCGGACAGCGGAGCAAATGTTTAGTGGAAAGACAGATCATGCAGGTTGAAAAGGGAAGGAAATCGATCAGCTCTACTTGGGCTGGGAAGGATGAAGCTCCAATGAAGGGGCCGGGTCTTCCAGCACAAACTTTAAAATGGAGAAATTGGCACCCGGGAAGACTTCTGCTTCCCTAATGATTTAATTAGCTGGAAAGGGTTGAGCAATGTAACCAGAGAAGCAACTGAGGCATGGGAAGAAAGAGGGGACAGCCATTATTTAGAATTGAGCAGGAAAGGGAAAACCAGCATGGCGAAGATACAACTGAAACAGAGCCAAAACTAACTTTAAACCAAGATAGGATTAAAAAAGTAAACATAAATCATAGTAAAAAAAAGAACCATTTTTTTTTTTAAAAAAGCATTTAGAAATAAAAACAAACTTTGCCAATTAAAAAAAAAAACCTATGACATTAAATTCCAACAGGACCATCAGCTATTAGTTCTTAGAAACTAATTTCTATTTAAAATAAAAAAGAAGAAGAGAGAAGGAGAGAGAAAGAGACAAAAAAAAACACTTCACTGCTGGGATTTCAAAGAAAAAACTCAAAAGTAGCAAAACTACAGAAGTATAAACTACGCCCAAGGCCACACCAAAAAAAGTACCTTGTTTTTTTTGATGAAAGGCCACAATTTGCCCTTGGACTTGCTCGTGAATCTGGATTCGGATTTACCGTCTTTCGAATTAGAAAGGCTGGATTCTGAAACCGCCCGCTTGATCGGCTGGGTGAAGTCCTCGAAGTCGACATCTCCAGGAGGCTCGAAGCCCGATTTGAAGGCTTCGATGACCAGCTGAGAGTCCTGGAAGGGACACACAACCGCAGAAAGCCATCATGGATTGGGGACCTGGACCTCCAGCTCTTGGAGGGAACGGTGAGGATGGGAATCATCTGCTCAGAAATTCCCCAGCGCCTAAATTCGCCAGAAATGTAGCTTCCAAAAAGGGACATAGATCGGTGGTGGGGAACGTGCTTTGGAGCTTCAAGTGCAATCGCGGTCGTTTTTCTTTTTAATAGCTGAATCTGAAGACTTGGGAGGGCCACCTAGTCCCAGTTGAGGGTCCTGACTCAACATAAAGCAGGAATGAGTGATGGTGCTAAGAGGAGGTCTGCATTTATGACAGATGGTTTTCGGTGTAGGTATTCTAAAGATACTCTCATACCCCATTCGGTTGTCTCTCCTCAAGGCTAAATGTACCCAGTTTATTTAGATTTTCCTAGTCCCCTGGTCCTCCTCTCATGGCCCTTCGCTAACCTGCCTCAATTTCTCTGCATCTTCTTCCACTGCAGTGCCCAGAACTGGATAAAGGATTTGAAACAGGGCTGACCAATATCGAATAAACTGGAACAACTGCTTCTCATTTTTGGAAAATATACTTCTTGATGCAGCCTAAAATTGCCCTGCCTTTTTAGCAACTACGTGCATGCTGTTCGCTCAAATTCAGGTTGTGATTCACTCCCAGTTCCAAAACTTTTTTTTCACATACTCTGACGAAACCAAGCCATGTATCCCCCATGTAAGACCTGCCCATACGATCTTTCCTAAGTGAATAAATTTGCACGTGTTCCTATGGTATTTCATTTCAAACGATTTTCCTTTTCCATTTTACCTGGTGAGTGCGATTTCACCCCGTCTCCTAAAGAACGGATGATGCGCTCTCTGCAAATCTGAAGAACCTCCTACTCCTCATCTAAGTTATTAATATATCTCAGAACAAGTAAGATCTCAATACCCTGGAAAGATGAACGACAATGAAATGAAAGCAAAAAATCCACAATGCGGAACCCGCTGGAGTTTCTAAGGGGCTCTCCCCTTCCAAATCCACAGTTTGAAAATGCACCTAAATGTCAGAAGAACTCAGCTAAGAATGCCACTATGATGCAAAACAGAACTGAAATCTCAGGGGATTGTATTTTGTTTCTTCCCCGCTGCTCTGATCATCACACCGGATTGTGTGAAAATACTTGCCAACCTGCTAATGCCAGAAAGGCTGGCAAAGGGAGCAGGGATTGGCAACTCACCCCTTTCAAATAAGGACGCATCATTCACCCATCTACCCCCCAAGCCTGTTCATTTACTTGCGAGACAAGAGAACCTAGAAGCCAGAAGCCCCCTTAGGGCATTCCCAGGGCAATCATTCATAGCCATGGTTGAAATAAAACAAAGCCTGTCCTGATTACTGTTATTTTGACACAACTATTCTTGGATGAAGCTAGAAGTCTCTAGGTCTTTCCCCATTCACAAAACTACTGTATTGCACATACCACCTCTGCATGACGTTGCCCTCATCACATCCCCAAACCATGAACGAAACAAATTTAAGTTGTTCTCCATTGCCTTTATCACATTCCTTAATACAAATGAGACAGACTTCAGTTATCTTTAGGTGCCTTCATCGCATTCCCAAACCATGAATGAAACAAGCTTAAGCTGTTCTCTGTTGCCTTCATCACGTCTCCTACCATGAATGAGTCAGACCTCAGTGGTCTTTAGATGCCTTCATCGCGTCTCCAAACCAGAATGAAACAAGCTTAAGATGTTCTTAGCGGTATTGTTGTTAATGCGGTAGTTTTGCCCTGACTCTGACTCACTCAAGGTTGGCCTGAAGGTATGTAATACCTGCAAGCCTTTGTCACTTATTATCTCGGAGGAGGTTAGAGGACTTCAATGACTAGGAATGGAGGCAACGGACACACTGGCACTGAGGATCACACATTTCACACCGATCTGGTTTTCCGCCAATTCAAAGGTGGGCAGAGGACACAGCAGTGAGGAAAGGCCCTGTAAATCATTAACGAGGAAATGCTTTAGTCTGTCTTATTTTAAAGTTGCCGGTATTTTATCATACTACAATTTTCATTCATTTCCAAATCACTCTTGTTGAGGCCTAATCACCCTGTACCCAAAAGGGAGCGATGCTCAGGGTTACATGGATGTTGTCTGCAGCAGACGCAAGGGCGTTCCCAACTAAATTACTCTTGTAAAACTTTACAGGGGGGCAGGGACAGGAAGAGGAAAAGGAATTTAAGAACAGACGTGCTCTAAATTGGAGGAATAAATAAACCAAAGGAAACCACATCCTGAATTTCCTACCTCCCCTTTTTCCAAAGGTTTGAACCCTTTGCTTTATCTTCTTTAATCCATGTCACATCCTCTCACATCCTATCGTTACAGTGGAACCCACAGGGGTGAGTTGCCTTTATCTGGGGATGTATGTCAAAACAGGAAGTCAGATCTCCAAAGCAAATTCACTGGTGTCAGCTTTCTAAATGGGTTTTTGGAAAGGCAAATCCTACACGTCGGTCCTTGTTAGTATCACGGCTGGGGCCACCTCTGCCTCGTAGGAGATGCAAGGGAATAACCGAGGAGAATACGCTACATTAAGCATCAAAAGCTGCAAGCAAGGAGCCAAATTCCACTCGGTTTCAAACCCAACATGATTTACACCCGATGGACGGGATTAAGTATCACACGCTCTGAAATCCAGGGTTGATTCTAGGGCTCAAGGAAGCTCTCCACTTACATGCTTCGGATTGATGGAATCCACTGCCTTTGTGATCTCATCCAGACACTTCCCGATGATGGGAGTCACCTGGCGATCCACCTCAGCAAAGGTCTTCATGGATTCCCCTATTCTGATGATCCGTCTCTCTTCCATGTCTTGAATTTTCTGGAAAGAGAAGAAGCATCCACAGGTTAAAACCTTTCAGAGACACCCCACTTCGCTCTATCCTTGTAGCAACGTCATGAGTGAGGCCTACACACTCCAATCTTCTAAGAGCAAACTCAAAGGTGGGGGTGTCAATACCATTCAGACTAAAATGGGGCTACTGGGAAGTGAGAGGGAGGTAAGACCACCCTAGATAGCCCTGGTTTTACAAGGATAACTCTAAAGGAAGAGAAAACAGAATACCCCAAACCAGTGTTCCTCAACCTTGGCAACTTTAAGACATGTGGACTTCAACTCTCAGAATTCCCCAGCCATGCTGAGAGTTGAAGTCCACATGTCTTAAAGTTGCCAAGGTTGAGAAACACTGCCCCAAACAGTCCAATTAGAACTGAATAAACCGAATAACCACAGAATGGCGAATGCCTATTTGGAAAAGAGAAGGTGGAATGGAGCGATCCAGAGAAGCACATGGCTGCCAAACTGGACCTCTGTAGAAGGACATTCCTAAGAGAAGATAAGAAGCCTCAGAACACCAACTAGACTAGACCAAATGGGGCTGGGTAACTGATGGTTTAACGTATTGTGGGAAATCCAAACCACACTGTATTAAGCAAGGTGTCCCATGGAAACATAACTGTGTCCATTTATTTGGACGTAGACTCAGTTCTCAATGCCCACAATGTCCTCCACCAAAGTTTGGGGCCCAAGGATTTACAGCAACGAATCTGTCCCATTTCCCCCCAATTTATGAAGGAAGATGCTGTTGCGGTGCTCCACGGGAGCAGCAATTTTCCTTCCCAAGGGGGCCCATGACCCAGTGCGCCCAAGTTCATGCTTTTCATAATTTCATTCGGCAACCTGACCGGGGAAAAGTGGGGGCCCAGAAGCCCCGTTTCCTCATTCGTCTCTGGCTGGTTAGTGAAAGCCAAAGAACAATTCCTGGAAGAACCCAAGTGGGCGCATTATTTTTCAAAATTAGAAACGGCTCACTCCAGGCTCCTCTTATGACAGGTTTGAGAATTTTCCATTCCACTTTTGGGTACAGAGAGAAACTGCTGACTATGATTAGTCTTTGCAATGGGAAGCTATGAAGATGACCAAAAAAAGAGAATATAGAAGTCTGGCCAGGAGATGTCATATTATCCCAGAAGTTTATTTGCTTGTTTATTCCCAGTTCCAGAGTGAGTTCTCCTGTGCTTTGGAAACACAACATAAGTCTGCGTCTACTGTAGTTCCCAGTGCATAAATTCTTCATTCCTTTTTCTCCTCTCCTCGTTCAATTTGACGGGAGAGGATTGACTTGAGAAACACTTTTCCAGGGAGAAGAGAATTTTGGAGACGTTCTCTCAGCCCAGCTATGCAGATCAGACCAGAATGTCAGTTCCTCAGGAAGGCTAAAATGACTTTTATTGAAATTGGCTCTAATAACAGCATCTTGCAAGTCTGTTTGTCCTGGACCTCCTCCCCCTTCTTATGCTATAGTGGATTAGGGAGGTGTCTGCCTGAGTCACTTCTGACTCAGAAGTGCTCTGGACTTAAAAAATGTTTCAGCCCCTTTGACCTAGGGAACAGCTAGGGAAATACATCAAGGTCATCTTCCTTACCCTCTTCATCTTCTTCTGGGAGGAGGCTGTGTTCTTGCCCTAAGTGAATTACAAGGTGGAAGCCAAGGAGTGGTATGAATGTCCTATATTTCACGGTCTAAGACGGGGAATAAGTAATCTTTCCAGCCATCTGCAGCCTCCCTGGCTTCCCTCGCTTCAAAAAACAGTTGGAGAACTTCTCCTCTGCTGGAAAAGTTTGCCCAGTAGCTTTGCCCACAAAATTGGTGCATTTCAGTAAGTTGGTTGCACCCAGGTCTGTTTGCAACAGGCAGGAAATAATTTCCCCTTCTGATTGCAAAAAACCCAGAAATAATACATCACACAAGTAGGAATTTGAGGAAGGTGACTGAAATGTGTTCTCCAAAGAGGCACTTTCCAAGTCTTCAGGAAATAGAAAGATGCATCTTATAACCCATCAGTGATCAAACATGAAGATGAAAGCCGGTGACACGAGGGGCCCACAAACCAGTCCTTGGCTTCAGAAATCAAAGGCAGAATCTTGGTGGGTTCAACCTGGCACCATCCTGCCCCATTCATGCTCTGCCTCCCCAGCTGCAGAACGGAGGTGGTGGTGAGTGGCGATGGCATGAAAAACAATGATGTCACCAACCAGGATGACAATAACAGCTCTGGATTCTTTCAGACAACAGGCAGTTCTGTTGCTCCCAACCCTGTTGCTCTGCCAGAGATTAATCAGATAGAGCAGGGGCCAACAGAAGACCAGGAGAAGTATGGTTGCCTTCACACTGCACACCAAGCCTCTACTTCAACTAGCAAAATGAATGCATGTGTGTATGAGAGAGAATGAATGAATTGTGGGATATCTATCTATCTATCTATCTATCTATCTATCTATCTATCTATCTATATCTAGCCAGCCAGCCAGCCAGCCAGCCAGCCAGCCAGCCAGCCAGCCTGTCTCTTTCTCCATTCCATCCATCCATCCATCCATCC